ATCCCACCACGCAAATATAAACATGCAATATCTCACACTATATTGAATAAACAAAGTTCAGATAGTCCCCAGAGTGTAGTATTTATGAAGTATTCACATATTCCCACAGTGTCCTTTTTGAATAAACAAAGTTCAGATAGTCTCCAGATTTTGCATGATCTTTTCTTTTCTTATTTTTGTATTTTCTTCTTGATCTTGCATTGGTTTGATAGTTTTATCAAATGGAAAGGGTAATCTTAAGGAAAAGGTTGTAGGTAATCACAGTTAGATCAAGTCAACTTCTTACCATGGTTAAGAAAAGTTGGGGTCTGAGGACTTAAAATGGCCATGAAAATATGATTGTGAAGTTCAGGGGGGGTGGGGGGAGATTTCAGTAGAAAATTAACAGATGTATATTTCATGAACCAACAAAGATGAGATCCTGGTGACTCAATTTTGCAGTAATGGACCGATGTTGCTTTGATCACCCCAGTTAGTCAAACTCTGGCATGAAGTACATTTTATTGAGATTTTATGAGGTCACTATAACACTAACAATCAACAAGGATTGCAACCAAATTCTGAAACCTTAATCCCACCTCCCTTTGTCATCCCTATTTTAGTCTCTTTGGGATGCAAGTTCTGTACGTAGGTGGCTGTAATGCATATTTATATCATAGAAATTTTGTCTGGAGGGCCAAAATTATGGAAAATACTCCTTTCAAAAAGTATTTAATTTTTGTCCCAGGGGTGCTGCCTCTTGGAGGCATGCGTCAGGTATGCTCCAAATAAATTAGTCTTCACAGATAAACAAGTTTTATGGAAGTGGATTTCGAAAGATTTATGAACATGCATACTTTTCAATGTTGGGATATGGTAATATGTATTTTTTGTATCCTCTGATCATTACATTAGCTAATTTGCATAAGAGTTAAACTAGTAAGCAAGGGTGGTATGCTATTCTACAGTATATTATTGAAATACAGTAACAAAGGCCAATCTCAGTACAAGTCTCAATGTAAGCAAGGGTGGTATGCTATTCTACAATATTCTACGATAAAAAGAATGTCCCCAAGTTATTTGTATAACAGGGTTCTGATATCATAAGATGAAAACAAAACTAGTTCAGTAACAAAATGTAAGGAAAAATATTGTAAACTAGCGTGTCTGAATTCATCGTGATCAGATCATATTGCTTGCTAACATCAGACTTTGGCTTAAAAATATGATTCATAAGAAGCAAGCAGCATAACCAAAGTGAAATTACTCGAAATTCATTGGATCTCCATTAGTCACTGATGGCTTCAACCTGATTATACAAGACAAGCATCATCTCATAAACATCTTATACTGCAGACGGTTTATGGCCTCAAGCAATCCGCACGCACATACTCGGGTGAAATCTGAACCCTAGAGGCAACCTAGCCTCCATCATACTCAAATAGCTCATAGTGAGAGACAGATGGAGAAGGCAACGGGTGAGAGAGTTGAAGATATTGGGGAGGGGCTCGATGAGAACTCGAACGCAAGGATAGGGGGCCTTATATAGAGAACAACTTTAAATCAATTGTAAATTAAGTTTTGCTTGACTATTTCACCTCATTATACTGACTAGCTAAAAAGTTTACGGTCCGTGAGCATTACTTTTATCGCAGAGGCTTCCAACTAAATTAGAGAACAAGAAAAGGAGAAGAATTATTAACAATTTTCTTCAAAATAATGTTTCCAGCCATGCAAATAATTTTGTAAATTCAGACTCATCGTCAACAAAGCATTACTTCAGATATAATCGCTCATTCTACTTTTGGATCCAACTACATCGAGGGGAAGGAAGTGTTTACTGCACAACAAGAATCATGACCCAAATGAAACAAGAAGAAACTACAACCAGATCGAAAAGCAAAGGGGACGATTTCTAGGGTTAATTTAGTACCTTCCACGGTCCTGGGGGCGATTTTGGCAGGAGGAGGAGGCGGCGGCGGCGGCGAGATCCGACGGAGGCGGCGGTGAACTTCGACGGAGGCGGAGATCTCCGACGATGGCGTCGGTGAGCTTCGACAAAGGCGGGGAACTTTCAGAGAATTTGGGGGTGGGGTTTTGGCGATTTTGGCTCTTCGTCGACTTTGGCTCTTCGTCAAAATAAAAGGGGGGAATTATCCCTCCTTTTATTTCGGGGGGTGATTTGGGGGGTGGGGTTTTGGCGACGTGGATAAATAAAGTAGCGTCGCTAAAAATATAATTTTTAGCGACGCTAAATATAAACGTCGGGAAAAGAATACTTTTAGCGACGTTAGCCTAATACGTCGCGATAAATGCATACTATTAGCGACGTTAATTTTAAAACGTCGCTAAAAGGCTATACTTTTGCCGACGAAAATGAAAAAACGTCGGGAAATCCATAACTTTTATCGACGCTAAGTTAAAACGTCGCTAATAATATACATTTTTAGCGACGCTAATTATAAACGTCGGGAAAAATATATTTTTTGCCGACGCTAACTAAAAGCGTCGGGAAAAACATAATTTTTGGCGACGT